GAGACAGGGCCTAACGCACTGCGTTATACAGAGACAGGGCCCAACGCACTGCGTTATACAGAGACAGGGCCCAACGCACTGCGTTATACAGAGACAGGGCCCAACGCACTGCGTTATACAGAGACAGGGCCCAACGCACTGCGTTATACAGAGACAGGGCCCAACGCACTGCGTTATACAGAGACAGGGCCCAACGCACTGCGTTATACAGAGACAGGGCCCAACGTACTGCGTTATACAGAGACAGGGCCCAACGCACTGCGTTATACAGAGACAGGGCCCAACGCACTGCGTTATACAGAGACAGGGCCCAACGCACTGGGTTATACAGAGACAGGGCCCAACGCACTGCGTTATACAGAGACAGGGCCCAACGCACTGCGTTATACAGAGACAGGGCCCAACGCACTGCGTTATACAGAGACAGGGCCCAACGCACTGCGTTATACAGAGACAGGGCCCAACGCACTGCGTTATACAGAGACAGGGCCCAACGCACTGAGTTATACAGAGACAGGGCCCAACGCACTGCGTTATACAGAGACAGGGCCCAACGCACTGGGTTATACAGAGACAGGGCCCAACGCACTGCGTTATACAGAGACAGGGCCCAACGCACTGAGTTATACAGAGACAGGGCCCAACGTACTGCGTTATACAGAGACAGGGCCCAACGTACTGGGTTATACAGAGACAGGGCCCAACGACCGCGCTATACAGACAGGCCCAACGCACCGCGCTATACAGACAGGGCCCAACGCACTGGGTTATACAGAGACAGGGCCCAACGCGCTGCGTTATACAGAGACAGGGCCCAACGCACTGGGTTATACAGAGACAGGGCCCAACGCGCTGCGTTATACAGAGACAGGGCCCAACGTACTGCGTTATACAGAGACAGGGCCCAACGCACTGCGTTATACAGAGACAGGGCCCAACGCACTGCGTTATACAGAGACAGGGCCCAACGCACTGCGTTATACAGAGACAGGGCCCAACGCACTGCGTTATACAGAGACAGGGCCCAACGCACTGCGTTATACAGAGACAGGGCCCAACGCACTGGTTATACAGAGACAGGGCCCAACGCACTGCGTTATACAGAGACAGGGCCCAACGCACTGCGTTATACAGAGACAGGGCCCAACGCACTGCGTTATACAGAGACAGGGCCTAACGCACTGCGTTATACAGAGACAGGGCCCAACGCATGGGTTATACAGAGACAGGGCCTAACGCACTGGGTTATACAGAGACAGCGCCTAACGCACTGCATTATACAGAAACAGGGCCCAACGCATGGGTTATACAGAGACAGGGCCTAACGCACTGGGTTATACAGAGACAGCGCCTAACGCACTGCGTTATACAGAGACAGGGCCTATCGCACTGGGTTATAAAGAGAAAGGGCCTAACACACTGTGTTATACAGGGACAGGGCCTAAGGCACTGGGTTATACAGGGACAGGGCCTATCGCACTGGGTTATACAGGGACAGGGCCTAACGCACTGTGTTATACAGAGACAGGGCCTAACGCACTGGGTTATACAGGGACAGGGCCTATCACACTGGGTTATAAAGAGAAGGGGCCTAACACACTGTGTTATACAGGGACAGGGCCTAAGGCACTGGGTTATACAGGGACAGGGCCTATCGCACTGGGTTATACAGGGACAGGGCCTATCGCACTGGGTTATACAGGGACAGGGCCTAACGCACTGGGTTATACAGGGACAGGGCCTAACGCACTGGGTTATACAGGGACAGGGCCTAACGCACTGGGTTATACAGGGACAGGGCCTATCACACTGGGTTATAAAGAGAAAGGGCCTAACACACTGTGTTATACAGGGACAGGGCCTAACGCACTGTGTTATACAGAGACAGGGCCTAACGCACTGGGTTATACAGGGACAGGGCCTATCACACTGGGTTATAAAGAGAAAGGGCCTAACACACTGTGTTATACAGGGACAGGGCCTAACGCACTGTGTTAGACAGAGACAGGGCCTAACGCACAGGGCCTATCACACTGGGTATACAGGGACGGGGGCCTAGCAGCGCACTGGGTATACAGGGGACGGGGCCTAATGCGCCTCTAATATTCTGCGTTTACGGAGACAGGGCCCAACGTACTGCGTTATACAGAGACAGGGCCCAACACGCTGCGTTATACAGAGACAGGGCCCAACGTACTGCGTTATACAGAGACAGGGCCTAACGCACTGCGTTATACAGAGACAGGGCCCAACGCACTGCGTTATACAGAGACAGGGCCCAACGTACTGCGTTATACAGAGACAGGGCCCAACGCACTGCGTTATACAGAGACAGGGCCCAACGTACTGCGTTATACAGAGACAGGGCCCAACGCACTGTGTTATACAGAGACAGGGCCCAACGCACTGCGTTATACAGAGACAGGGCCCAACGCACTGCGTTATACAGAGACAGGGCCCAACGCACTGCGTTATACAGAGACAGGGCCCAACGCACTGCGTTATACAGAGACAGGGCCCAACGCACTGCGTTATACAGAGACAGGGCCCAACGCACTGGGTTATACAGAGACAGGGCCCAACGCACTGCGTTATACAGAGACAGGGCCCAACGCACTGCGTTATACAGAGACAGGGCCCAACGCACTGCGTTATACAGAGACAGGGCCCAACGCACTGCGTTATACAGAGACAGGGCCCAACGCACTGCGTTATACAGAGACAGGGCCCAACGCACTGCGTTATACAGAGACAGGGCCCAACGCACTGCGTTATACAGAGACAGGGCCCAACGCATGGGTTATACAGAGACAGGGCCTAACGCACTGGGTTATACAGAGACAGCGCCTAACGCACTGCATTATACAGAAACAGGGCCCAACGCATGGGTTATACAGAGACAGGGCCTAACGCACTGGGTTATACAGAGACAGCGCCTAACGCACTGCGTTATACAGAGACAGGGCCTATCGCACTGGGTTATAAAGAGAAAGGGCCTAACACACTGTGTTATACAGGGACAGGGCCTAAGGCACTGGGTTATACAGGGACAGGGCCTATCGCACTGGGTTATACAGGGACAGGGCCTAACGCACTGTGTTATACAGAGACAGGGCCTAACGCACTGGGTTATACAGGGACAGGGCCTATCACACTGGGTTATAAAGAGAAGGGGCCTAACACACTGTGTTATACAGGGACAGGGCCTAACGCACTGTGTTATACAGAGACAGGGCCTAACGCACTGGGTTATACAGGGACAGGGCCTATCACACTGGGTTATAAAGAGAAAGGGCCTAACACACTGTGTTATACAGGGACAGGGCCTAACGCACTGTGTTATACAGAGACAGGGCCTAACGCACTGTGTTATACAGGGACAGGGCCTATCACACTGGGTTATACAGGGACAGGGCCTAACGCACTGGGTTATACAGGGACAGGGCCTAATGCACTCCTAATATTCTGCGTTTTACAGAGACAGGGCCTTTTACACTGCGTTTTACAGTACCTGGGTCTAATATACTGCATCATATAGAAACTGGGTGAGTTACAAACTATGAGTTATATAGAGACAGGAAATAAAAAAATAAAACTAAACTGCATTATATAAAAAAATGCGTAATACGCTGTATTTTACAGAGACAGAGCATTATAAAAATCAACGTACACAGAGCTTATTATAGTTCACATAATGCAGGCCCTGAGTCTGTCCTATGCACTGTATTTACAATGATATTGGCCTATGGGAATAGGCAATAACATGCACACCGGGACTTACACATAGTATTATATACAGACACCTCTTCCCTCTACTAATACACAAGAACTACCACCTACCTCTCACCTCCTCCTAATACACAGACATCAGGACACCTACCTCTCACCTCCTCCTAATACACAGACATCAGGACACCTACCTCTCACCTCCTCCTAATACACAGACATCAGGACACCTACCTCTCACCTCCTCCTAATACACAGATATCAGGACACCTACCTCTCACCTCCTCCTAATACACAGACATCAGGCCACCTAACTCTCACCTCCTCCTAATACACAGACATCAGGACACCTACCTCTCACCTCCTCCTAATACACAGACATCAGGACACCTACCTCTCACCTCCTCCTAATACACAGACATCAGGACACCTACCTCTCACCTCCTCCTAATACACAGATATCAGGACACCTACCTCTCACCTCCTCCTAATACACAGACATCAGGCCACCTAACTCTCACCTCCTCCTAATACACAGACATCAGGACACCTACCTCTCACCCCCTCCTAATACACAGACATCAGGACACCTACCTCTCACTTCCTCCTAATACACAGACATCAGGACACCTACCTCTCACCCCCTCCTAATACACAGATATCGGGACACGTACCTCTCACTTCCTCCTAATACACAGACATCAGGACACCTACCTCTCACCTCCTCCTAATACACAGACATCAGGACACGTATCTCTCACCTCCTCCTAATACACAGACATCAGGACCTCCGCCTCCTCCTGTGCAGACATCAGGACACACATTACCTCACTTCCCTCCTAATGCACAGACATCAGGCGCCTACCTCCTCCACTCCTCCTAATACACAGACATCCAAGGACCGCATTGCCTCTCACCCTCCTCCTAATACCTACAGACAGACATCAGGACACCTACCTCTCACCTCCTCCTAATACACAGACATCAGGACATGTACCTCTCACCTCCTCCTAATACACAGACATCAGGACACCCACCTCTCCCCTCCTCCTAATACACAGACATCAGGACACCTACCTCTCACTTCCTAATACACAGACATCAGGACACCTACCTCTCACTTCCTAATACACAGACATCAGGACACCTACCTCTCACTTCCTCCTAATACACAGACATCAGGACACCTACCTCTCACCTCCTCCTAATACACAGACATCAGGACACCTACCTCTCACCTCCTCCTAATACACAGACATCAGGACACCTACCTCTCACCTCCTCCTAATACACAGACATCAGGACACCTACCTCTCACCTCCTCCTAATACACAGACATCAGGACACCTACCTCTCACCTCCTCCTAATACACAGACATCAGGACACCTACCTCTCACCTCCTCCTAATACACAGACATCAGGACACCTACCTCTCACCTCCTCCTAATACACAGACATCAGGACACCTACCTCTCACCTCCTCCTAATACACAGACATCAGGACACCTACCTCTCACCTCCTCCTAATACACAGACATCAGGACACCCACCTCTCACCTCCTCCTAATACACAGACATCAGGACACCCACCTCTCACCTCCTCCTAATACAGAGACATCAGGACACCCACCACCTCCACCCTCAATACACTGAACGTCAGGACACCCTACCTCTCACTTCCTCCTAATACACAGACATCCAGGACCGCATTACCTCTCACCTCCCTCCTAATACACCACAAAGTATCCAGACACCTGCACCTCTCACCTCCCTCCCTAATACACAGACATCAGGACACCTACCTCTCACCTCCCTCCTAATACCACAGACATCAGACACCCACCCACCTCTCCACCTCTTCCCTAATACACAGACATCAGGACACGTACCTCTCACCCCCTCCTAATACACAGACATCAGGACACGTACCTCTCCCCTCCTCCTAATACACAGACATCAGGCCACCTACCTCTCACCTCCTCCTAATACACAGACATCAGGACACCTACCTCTCGCCTCCTCCTAATACACAGACATCAGGACACTTACCTCTCACCTCCTCCTAATACACAGACATCAGGACATCTTCCTCTCACCTCCTCCTAATACACAGACACCAGGACACCTACCTCTCACCTCCTCCTAATACACAGACACCAGGACACCTACCTCTCACCCCCTCCTAATAAACAGACATCCAGGACACCTACCTCTCACCTCCTCTAATACACACAGACACATCAGGACACCTACCTCACCCCCTCTTCCCTAATACAGACGGCAAGGACACCTACCTCTCACACCTCCTAATACACCCAGACATCAGGACACCTACCTCTCCTCTCCTAATACCCAGACATCCAGGACACCCACCACCTCTCACCTCCTCCTAATACACACAGACACATCCAGGACATTGCCTCTCACCTCCTCCTAATACACAGACATCAGGACACTTACCTTTCACCTCCTCCTAATACACAGACATCAGGACACGTACCTCTCACCTCCTTCTAATACACAGCCATCAGGACACGTACCTCTCACCTCCTCCTAATACACAGACATCAGGACACGTACCTCTCACCTCCTCCTAATACACAGACATCAGGACACCCACCTCTCACCTCCTCCTAATACACAGACATCAGGACACCTATCTCTCCCCTCCTCCTAATACACAGACATCAGGACACCTACCTCTCACTTCCTAAAACACAGACATCAGGACACCTACCTCTCACTTCCTAATACACAGACATCTGGACACCTACCTCTCACCTCCTCCTAATACACAGACATCAGGACACCTACCTCTCACTTCCTAATACACAGACATCAGGACACCTACCTCTCACCTCCTCCTAATACACAGACATCAGGACACCTACCTCTCACCTCCTCCTAATACACAGACATCAGGACACCTACCTCTCACCTCCTCCTAATACACAGACATCAGGACACCTACCTCTCAATCCCTCCTAATACACAGACATCAGGACACCTATCTCTCCCCTCCTCCTAATACACAGACATCAGGACACCTACCTCTCACCTCCTCCTAATACACAGACATCAGGACACCTACCTCTCACCTCCTCCTAATACACATACATCAGGACACCTACCTCTCACCTCCTCCTAATACACAGACATCAGGACACCTACCTCTCAATCCCTCCTAATACACAGACATCAGGACACCTACCTCTCACTTCCTCCTAATACACAGACATCAGGGCACCTACCTCTCACCTCCTCCTAATACACAGACATCAGGACACCTACCTCTCACCTCCTCCTAATACACAGACATCAGGGCACCTACCTCTCACCTCCTCCTAATACACAGGCATCAGGACATCTACCTCTTCCCCGTCCTAATTCACAGACACTTCTTGCTCTTTATAAAAAGACACAAATAACTCATGCATCCCATGTAATACTCACGTTTATGGTTATTTTTCCTATGGAATGGTATAAGATATCTCTCTGCATTCTCTTCCCCTTCTTCCTCAGCCAGGTGGGTGTGTGTATAATGGTAACTCAGTCCAGGACGGTTCTTATAGCGCTTCCCACATACTATAGAAGAGCATAAAGTATATACTATAGTACACTGTGACCCTGGGAGGGACTGACCATTAAACATGTCACTGTCATTAGTACACTGTGACCCTGGGAGGGACCGACCATTAAACATGTCGCTGTCATTAGTACCCTGTGACCCTGGGAGGGACTGACCATTAAACATGTCACTGTCATTAGTACACTGTGACCCTGGGAAGGACTGACCATTAAACATGTCACTGTCATTAGTACGCTGTGACCCTGGGAGGGACCGACCATTAAACATGTCACTGTCATTAGTACACTGTGACCCTGGGAGGGACCGACCATTAAACATGTCACTGTCATTAGTACCCTGTGACCCTGGGAGGGACTGACCATTAAACATGTCACTGTCATTAGTACACTG